TCTTCTTCTACTTCTTCATCTTCTTCTTCTGTGATTGTGCCTCCTCTAATCGCAGGCTGTCACTTGAAAGAGACTCCCGAGTGTTTCTGGGTGTTAAATAATGTGTTTTGGCTTCAGGTGGTGAGTCAGTTGTTCTGTGGTGTGAATCAGAGTTTCAGTTTTACTCTCCTCCTCATCCTCCTTGTATTTGTTGTTTACATTACAGTCGAGTGTTTTTCTACAGAAGTCATACGGACTGAAACACAGCTCCTGAGTTGGACTGAGTTAGGGCTGCACGATTTTGGGGATAATCTATTTGTGATTTTTCTGACAGATATTGCGATTTGATTTGCGATATTTGTTTTTAAGCGACCCAACGGAAGTTTATTGTAAAATGCGGCCATATCTCCGGCTAGGAAGGTCGTATCAATGTGCTCCCGTCTCTAGCACCCCCGCAGCCCGAGCTACGAGTGAAATAACTAAACTTACATGAAACTTCCGTTGGGTTGCTTTAAAGTCAAGCTTCAGTTTAAGATTCGCCCTGTAATAGATGTAAAACATGTGATGGAGCATTACTAACCTGACGCAAACCATCTAGGAAAGCTCCATTGGAAGCCATTTGGAAAAGTATTTCAAAAATACTTGGCAGGTGATTGGATCAATCTGTATATCACCTACTATCATGGGCCACTTCTGATTGGTTAACAATGACTGGTACATGTGGAGCACAGCACTTCTGATTGGTGTGGATGACTGACACACAAGAAGAACAAAAACTGAAATCAAGGCTTTGCGATTTGATAACTGCATCATTTCAAATCGCGATTTCGATATAAAATCAATTAATCGTTCATCCCTAGTGTGTGTGTGTGTGTGTGTGTGTGTGTGTGTGTGGGTGTGGGTGTGGTGTGTGTGTGTGTGTGTGTGTGTGTGTGTGTGTGTGTGTGTGTGTGTGGGTGTGAGACTCACCAACTCCTGTGGTGTGGTCTCCTATTCTGTAGGCGTTAGGCTTCACTGACACTCGGCTCCACTCCTTACTGTCTGTTTTCTCCTGATGGTACAGACACAGCCCGTCCTCAAAGTCACAGTTGGCTATAGAGGGGTCAAAGTTCGGCTCTGGAATAAAAAACACAGCATCACAGTGAGCCCCTCCTAAGATATGAACAGTGTGCATCGTTCAACTAAAGGGGGAACTGGGGGAGGGGGTTAGGATGCTGGAATAAAAGACTAGCAGCTTAAAGTCTCTGCGTGAGAACCATTGCTGGTTGTAAAATTATTATTTGCAGGAAACATCAATGCTGGATTTGAATGATAAGTGACTAATTACCCATGAGTGACTCTCAGCCCATTGCTCCCTCTTATAATCAACCACCCTCAAATAAAAGTAATCATTAACTATAATTGATTAGACTGCATATTGAAGGCCTACCATGTAAAAAAGTACTTTTCTTGTTTCATGAATAAATTATCACTTTTTAAAAACAAGCACATTGTTTTGACTTTATTTAAATAAAACTGTTGTTTAATTACAACGGCAGGTAATACGTTTATAATATATGGTAAACATTTAATGTGGGAAATCCTGAGTGAAAAGAACAATATACATTTGATATGAATTTTTAATTTGTAAAATTGTTACAGAAGTTTGAGGCAAAATGCCTTGCCGGAATTTACCAGCCATAATTCTCTGGGAGTGGAAGATTAGTTAAAGGGGCCCTAATGTGCTCATTTTCAGGTTCATATTTGTATGTTGTGCCTCTACTGTGACATGTTGCAATGTTTCAATGTTCAAAAAGCTGTTGAGAGGGTGAAAAGTGATGCAGTATTAGAAAAATAAAGAGCTTTTTGAAAATTAAAGCATGGAAACATGTTACAGTAGAGACACTACATACTGAAAATGAGCAGAAAAAGGCCCCTTTAACATTGCAGCCTCTAGTGACCACAAGTGAGATTTCACTTTCAGTGCGATACAGAACAGTCTGTGATTGTTGTTAACCACCCCGCCCTATAATCACCTGTGTCAGTGTGGCAGAATTCAGGAGAAAAGGAGATGTCATCTATTGCCACGTATCCGCCTCTGGCACTGTTAAAAGCCACCTCAAATACCACCTGGTAACACACACAGAAATAACCAGCAACTGTTAACAGATGTGTGATGAGTAATGTGTGACTTCAACTCTAAGTCATAATTTTTCCTGTCTGAGTCTGAGAGAACATGCTCGGAGAAACGTTATGAACATGTAGTGATAGATAAGACAGCTGTAGAGGCCACACAGTGACCTGAGTGTAGCATAAATTCAGGAACATGAGTGAGTGGAGTGCTGCTTGATGGAAAAGGTCTGTACGACTCTTGGCTGGATCGGAAAGAGGAGCTGACCCAGTTAGTAAAGTTATGCAAGCTTCTTTCCACAGCGACAGAAGCCTGTGGGAGGGCTTCTGGCTGAAAGCACAAGCAAAGGAAACCATAAAAGTGCAGTGGAAAGGAGGAGTGAGTGTGTGTGTGTGTGTGTGTGTGTGTGTGTGTGTGTGTGTGTGTGTGTGTGTGTGTGTGTGTGTGTGTGTGTGTGTGTTCCAAGCCTCCTTTGTGGAGGCGGCTGCTGGGAGTGTTGGTCAAAAGGTCTTCAGAGCCTATCATGAGAA